TTCAGCTCGTTGTAGGGCGGCTCCTGACGGACAGACCGGCGGCCTCAGGCGTCAGCGGGGCGCGCCGGGGTCGGGGCCGGAGGCCGCCGCTGCTCACGTCCACCCACATCGCTGTATTGCCAGCCGCCGCCGCCGCCGCCGGGGTCGGCACGGGCGCGCGCGACGCTGACCGCCGCGCCCACTCACCTTCTGCGCGAACTCGATCATGGTGATGCCCAGCGACCAGACGTCCGACTTGTGGTCGTACGTCTCGGTGGGCGACGTCTCGCACACGATCACCTCGGGCGCCATCCAGTACGGCGTGCCGATGAACGTGGTGCGCTTCTGAGCGTTGTGCTTGTTCTTGGCCGAAACGCCGAAGTCGGCTGCCGGAGCGACAGACGGCGACCGTCAGACGCAGCGGCGCTCAGCGCCCGTCAGCCGCGTGGGGCACAGGCCGCCACACCGGACGGAACGGCCAAAAGTCAGAGCGCACACGCAGCGGGTGTCACGGCTTACGATACGTCACAAGATTGCGGCTCGACGAGAGCGAGCGATGCCTGGCCGAGGGGGCGGCATCAAGGACTTGCGGCGGTGCACATGGGGTCTGGAAACGTTCGGACCGCGAAAGAAAGCCGGTGGCAGTACTGACTGAGCTTGACGCCGCCGTCGGTGGTGAGCAGCACATTGCCGGCCTTGATGTCGCGGTGGATGACGTTGTTGTTGTGAAGGTATTCAAGACCTTCCACCATGCCGCGAGCGATATAGGCGATCTGCGGCTCCTTCAGGCCCCGGTCCAGCTCCACCATGATCGAGTCCACCGCGCCGCCGTCACAGAACTCCAGCAGCATCTGCGAGGCGCAGGGAACAGCTCGGACATGATATAGTAATAAACGACGAATCTTTTACAGAAGAAATTCGTCCGTTGTTTTTCGCACATGAGGAAGATGGACGCGTCCTGCACCAACCCGGATCTCGAAGAGGCACCCAAGATTAAGGTGACAGACCACCAAACCGTTGCCATGCAAAAACCCTTGGCTTGTTCCTCCCAATGGCAGACCTAGCACACTGTCAGATTGTCAGATAACTGGCACAAACAGCAGCAGCAGCACCCACCCAGAGATGCTTCTTCAAAAGGTACGCGTCGATGAGGCGGACGACGTTCTTGTGGCGCATCTCACTGAGGATGTCGATCTCCACCATAAAGCCCTCGAGCTCGTCATCTTCGCTCATCTCACAGACTTTGGCGGCCGTCACCAGACCAGAGTGACGGTGCTGGGCCTGAGACAGCATCACATAGTCACTGGTCACAGTGGGTCATCACCAGACCAGAGTGATGGTGCTGGGCTTGAGGCAGCATCACAGAGTCACTGGTCACACTGGGCCATCAGCAAACCAGCGACAGCACTGGGCCTGAGGCAGCATCACACAGTCACTGGTCACACTGGGTCATCAACAGACCAGAGTGACGGTGCTGGGCCTGAGGCAGCATCACAGAGTCACTGGTCACACTGGGCCATCAGCAAACCAGTGACAGCACTGGGCCTGAGGCAGCATCACACAGCCACTGGTCACACTGGGTCATCACCAAACCAAAGTGACAGCACTGGGCCTGAGGCAGCACCACACATATCACTGGTTTTTCTGGGCAGCCAACAAACACCAGATCATACCAAACAGCACCAGCTACATGTAACAGAAGTGTATGCACAAACATATCGGGCCCTATTAGAGACTTCGAGTATGATGGTAAGGCTGTTGACCACACTCACTATGTTGTGATTGTGTGAACTAAACCACATGTTTAACACATTTGGGGATTGAGACTACATTACAAATCAAAGGACCAGTCCTTCTGAAAGTGGGGTCTAGGTATGCATCATATGAGCAAAACTGGACAATGACATAGTTTGTGCAATGGAAAGTCAGAAGTCTTTGACCCATCTGCAAAAGTATACCACACAATTTTAAATACACAGGCACACAACACATGAAGTGTAAATGGTAGATGTGCCTAACTGGTGCACTTGAGATGCTAGGACATGCTTTCTGACAGTTTTGAACTGGGGAAAATATAGTTTTAGCACCAAGGCAAACTCATGTATGCACTTTAAACTTCCATCAGGGAAAATGGAAACAGGAACATGAGGGCAAGATAGCAAATGTTCCCAGCCCCTTCTGCAAAATAACATTGCTTTTTGCAATGATACAAAAACTGAAATCACATCTTAAAAAGGACTGAAGGCTTCTTCATCCCCTAACTCCCTGCAGGGTCTCTGCTTGTCTTGTAGGTAGTGGCCTTTCCACTCAGATGCTTTAACACGCACCCGGGTGGCCAGCTAGATACCCTTTGTTTGTGTGGGGGGTCAATTTGACCCCCAACCGAGATCTCGGGAACTAAGAGAGCTAGGGGCACCAAATTTACAGGGTGATTTGACCTGTATGTGAACTCATATAGTTCAAAGTTTGAAGTTCCTAGGTCATGCCCTTTGGGTCAAATAAGATCAAACAAGGTAAAATTCCAGATTGGTCTCCAAGGTGCCTCCAGAACCTAGATAACTGTTTCTAGGCAAAAGGCCACATGCTCAGTTAAGGTCAGTGACCTTGTTTGACCTTTTGAAGGTCATGGTGACCAAAATCATACAAGATTGCTCAGACTTTTTCATTGGAATAGGCAACAAAGATTACACTAGGCAGCATGTTTTTACAAACAAAATGTTGGCCTGGGTCATTATAGGTCAATGACCTTTTCTGACCTCTAAAAAGTCTATGGAGGATGTATAATGCAGTTCCTGCTATCAATAAATTTGAAATGAGCACCAGAAACAATCCCATGCAGCAAGCCCTGGAGTAATAAAACAGTTTGGCTTTGGCCTTGGTCTGACTTTTATACCTGACCTTAGGTCAACATGATTTGCTCATTCAATGGCTTTTTGTCTAAAAAAGCATCTCAGAGATGTATGGCTTCATCTAACACTCAACTGTTGCATCAGATTGAACAATTTCCTAGAAATTGACATTGCTGAAACCGTGGCCTGAATTTGACCTGCCATAGGTTAGCGACCTCACAAGGTACATAATAATTTTTGGCGCCAAATGAGCTGCTATTCAATTGTCTACAGCTATGCAAATTTATTGTGCCTGTGCCGCGCCGTTCGGAAACCATTCCGGAAAAACCTTCTGGGATCAATTTGAACCCCCACCTGAGCACATGTTAAGTTGTTTTAGAGATTGGCATGCCTATCACTTTTGGTGCATTACAATAATGAGAGCTGCCTGTGAAATATGCACAGCCTCAAATATTGGGAGTATGTATTCAAACATTGCCAACTACACAGCGGACTGTTGGTCACCTGGGTTTATACAAAAGCTCATGGGGAATATAGCAGCTCATGAGAAGCTGAAATCTTGCAGTTACAGTTGCTTTATAGAGCCAATGACTTAACATTTTCCTAATAGAATCAATGCTTTTGGCCTTATCTGGGCTCACCTGATAACTTATTTCATGCATGATGGTGTCCATCACTTTGTAGTAGCAACATACATTAAAGCACAAAGTTCTGATCTAGCAAACCAACTGCTATTTTACCAGCATTTTACTCAGGGACATGCAATCTGTATAATGATTCTGAGATGGGAGGTTAAGAATAAGCCAAGGCTCTAACAGCTCAATGACAACTAAACGTGTTTTTCACAGCCTTAGGCTACTTCCCTTCAAGAAACAAATAATCAAGCTTCAATTGTTGACCCATGTGTCAAATCACTCTTCATTTGAGTAGCATAGACTGTGGCCTGGAAATAACGGACCCCGCCCAACTTCATTTCATGCCTCACCTTTTCCCAATTTATGCAACATTCTATAAAAATAGGAGAAACCCAGCTTGGGGCCAACCAGCATGAGGTCCTCACAAAAGAATGCAAATAACTGCACACACCTCATTGGCCACATGCAAAATAGGAATGGGTTCAAAATATTTACTGGTTATCAAATGGGCAAATGACCTTCACACCTTTCTCTACCATGGCACAGCTGCAAAACACAAAGCAACCAGCACAGGCAGATAATACAGAGGGAATTTGGATTAGATTGTTGGATAACTAAGCATATTTCAGCAGTTAAACAACCAAAATTCTAATGGTGTTCTCACCAGGTACCACAGCTTGCCACCATGCAGCATTCACCCTCCAGCGGGCCACCACTGGGTATGTTACACGTCCCACATGGCCAGTCTCACTGCTTCCACCTACAATGTACTAACCTTGTACACCTTACCGAATGCCCCATCACCTATTTCACCTTGTAGTTCCCAGACTTCCTCCGGGTTAATTTCGACCTTAACATTATTGAGAACGCGGCGCTTTTTTGATGCGCCCTCCCCAGGGGAAAACAAGCTTTTCAGGTTCTTCAAAAATGACATCCTGTTTTTAATGTGCGCCTATGAAGACAGAAAAGGACGGAAAGCACAACTACGACCTGACCATCCTACCCAGCTGCTGATCACAAGGAGCACAAAGGGGCCAACTTCGCCCCGCCCACGACCCCTCCACCTCAGCGGGAACTACTCCTATTCACGAAGCATCCCGGATAAGCACAAGGTCGATGAATATCGGGCGGAGTAAGTGCTCTGCGGTAGTTTACAAGCCTGTTAGTCCAAGCTGATTTGCTGTTTTTATCGCTGTGAGTGCTGAACATGTGTCCACATTTATGATGTCATATGAATTAGTTTGTGAATATAGAGCTTAAATCTTCCTCTATGCTTGCATTTGAGAGTCACTTATTACAAGCTCTTAAACTATAGAAAAGCTCACATAATATTTTTGTTTTTAGAAACACAGCGTTTTAAAATCATTCTGATAAAAGTGGTTAAACGTCATGCAGCTGAACCAATCAAATTGCAGGACTGAGAGCCTTCTAGTTTAGTGGTGAGCACCTGTATTGCTTAGAAGTCGTAATGGCGCATGCGATACAAAAGAGAAGCACCGCTGTTTCTGTTTTGTGGCCCATTCGGTCGACAGCATATACGACTCGAATACACGTTATATGCTTTTTGACACCTACGGCCTTGTTCTACGTTACCGCTGGTTTGGATGTGGGGAGAATTTGTTATGCACCTGATCAATGCATCGGTTTCCCTGTGCGTGCTGCGCGGGGTGTGTCGGATTTAGATCAACGTACAGATAATGTGTGTGTTTCGTTAGTAACAGTAAAAATGCCCCTCGTCGTAATAACTGGCTTCCCTGCATCGGGCAAATCACAAAGATGTTCAGACTTGTCGAGTTATATGAAAGAGTCTTTTAAGGGAAAAGTTGTGATCATATGTGAGCATGATTACATTTCTACCAAGGACTCCACATACTCATGTAAGTTGGTATAGTCTATGTTTGCCAATGGAGCCTCAGGTACAAATGATTGTTAAACTTTGCTCCAATATTTTTTCTTTGCACTTCCAATGTCATGCATGCATCATACATCAATAAACCTTCCAGTAACATCCTTTGATTTTGCTGCTCTGCCATGTATGTTTGGTGCAACAGATGTTTTTTGCAAACTGTTCAAGTTACCATTTCATTATCTCCTGTTATTTTAGACTTAGGTACTGATATTTATTTGACCACTGCACTTTTGCATTCTAACTTCTGTTGGAGGCCTGGTGGAGATAGGATGGCAGTAGGTTTTGGTTGTTTTTACTATTTGTGTTTTTATGATTTTTAATAGCATCAAAACAGGACTGGGCCATAGTATTATGAGACATAAATTTCATGACTTATGTATGCATGCACAACACTGCAATACTGGCTAAAATGGTTAGCTCTTGGCATGCTTCAATATCCGTTGTTTTGCTGCATGCAGCATTACAGCCAGTAATGTTGTGACTAAAATGTTGTGTTATTAGGTATCTAGGGTGCAGACAATGTAAGTAAGGATACAAACTATGACTCCTCTTATTTCCCAGCACCACAAGTCGAGAAGGATGTGCGTGCAGCAATGAAAGGTGATGTTGTTAGGTAAGAAATGGATTAAGGCTTTACCTATGATGTAATCATTCTTCACTGATGAACATGGAAAATACACATTTTTTCATCTATTGCTTTGGATAGAAGGCAGGCAAAAAGAGGAATAAGCATGGTGTTGCTTGCACATGCTGTATTTTACTTGGAATTGAAGATGGGCTCATTTTTAGGGTGGAGTTAATGCACAAGCTTATAAGGATGTGGTAGTGTGTACAGCATGGGATGCAGCCCGAGCTGTCAGAGTCTGGTGAGATCTGTAATATTGTGTATCACCCTCCATGCCAATCATGGCAGTCCATCTCATCAGCATAGTGGGTTTGAGACACATCTCTTGAAATACATCTAGTGGTGAGGGGGTGTGTTTGAGTTACTTTAAATGTTCACTTTTTGTGGCTGACTGGGTGGCCTAGAGCCAGTGGCAGAGGTCACACCAAAGGTCAGGTGAGGTCAGGGTAGGACAGACTGTGTCAAGCATTACCATACACTTACATGCCACACAGTTTTGCATTGAACCTGGGATGTTATGGTCCAGTGGTGGGATCTGGACCCAGGAAAAAACATCGCTTAACATGGGCTCTGTATGTATCCGTAGTTGTTTCATTAATACACCCAATTAAAAATCTGGGTTAAAGTAAGAGCTTGATATTTTAGGCTAACTATGCTCTGCAGCTGACATTTTTTTGTTGAAAGGAAACGCAACGCACGCTGTCGCGCACCCGTTATGGAAAGCCAGAAACGGCAGTGGCAATATTAAGGCTGAGGAACCATGGCGCAACTGAGACTGGAACCTTGACCCTCACGTGGTAGCCGAGCCCACTTACCACTCAGCCCCTACGGTCCCGTTGCTGACATAGCCCTGGGTGTAATGCCACTAGCGAGGTCTGTAGCATTATGAAATGAAACATGGATAATTGAAAGGGACAAGAGTACTGCACTCTCATTTGCAAGACCCTGATTCAAATCCCATCAGTTCTATTAAGAGAATTCGGGGATGTGACTCGCACATGGAAGCCAAATATCATCCAGTCCTTCTCCAGAGCTCAGAACACCTCACGCCAACCGGAGGGTTAACTGGCTGAAGCGTTGTATGCATATTATTACACCAGATGGGGACAGTAGCCCCAACAATTATTCCATCCACGATACCAAAATGTTCTCCTCAGGCAAATATCAAAGGATGACATAGTGATCCTGGACAGGCCTCAACTACATCAAGGGGTACAGATACGAGCTGTTCTGCATCAGCAAGAACTGCCGGACGCCGCAGGTGACCCTGCACTGCACCATCAGCGCCGAGGAGGCGTGGCAGCGGGACCTGGCGCGCCCCGTGTCGGAGAGGTGCGTCACCCCGCCTTGTCCTGGCGTCATCCTGGCTGATGCGTAGACCAGCTGGACGAGGCGTTGCCGGAACGAGGGGGTAGTGAATTCGCACAAGCGGGCGAGGTGTAAGTGGTCTCCCAGGCCTTCGGGGGCGACTTCTTTGCTAGGCGTCTGAGCTTGTTTGTGGTGGGTGCATGGATAAATTTAAGTACAATGATGGACGAGCTTTTTACTAGCTTTTTTGTGCGCCTAAATCTAGTGGATCGGCCAATAGGCTACTGTTGAGGTAACATTGGGATCCCTTGCGGGTGAAAAAAATCGCTAATTTCGATACGAAGAACAACCTACTTGACCCTGCGTAATGTCTCAGGTCGTAGGTTCCCGGGAGCCAATTTGCACCCTCATTTGGCGAAACCCTGGGTCCGTGTCTGGCTCAGAGGCTCAAGGGTGTCAGGGGTATCCAGGGTATAGGGGTATGAAGTCTCCAGTCAGACCATTCCTGGATGCCTACCCAGGCAGGCTATTTGAAAGCAGTCTATAAGCAGACAAACTGAACTTTTTTAGTACTGAATTGTCCTGCGGATGTACTTGATGCAAAGTTCGCGCCGCTCTTGCTTGCGCACCTGCCCGTGGCTAGTGCTGCCCTCTGGACCGCCCCTCGCCGCCGTCCGGCCCGTCCGGTGACGCGCCGCGCGTCGCCACAGGTACGGCCGGGCCTGCTTTGACGCGCTGCTGGCGCGGTACGAGGAGCCGGACAGCCGCCACCGCTGGGACAGCCCGCTGCTAACCGTGCAGCCGGACGAGCCCACGCCCTGCGCGGACGTCCTGCGCGCTCTGCTGGACGCCCCGGCGCCGCGGCCCAACCAGTCCACACAGAACGTGCGTGTACCTGGCCGTCCTTGCAGGCCGCTGCCCGCAGACGGTCCGGTCCGGCTGTGGTGTTGGTTTGTCTCGTCGGCCTCTTGTGTATACCTGAAGCGCTCCCGATACACCTACCTGGCATGCATACGTGCTGTGGGTGTAACGCGTTGTGCGTAACACCACACTGCCGTCACTCTGGTGTTAACACTTGGCCGTTCCGAAAAAGATGCTTCAATTCATTATTGCATTTGCGATATTGCAGCCCTTGCTGGCGCCCACCAACTTCCTGTTCGACCTGGACCGCCAGACGCAAGAGGTGGTGAAGGTGAGCCAAGGAGCGGGGGCCGAGCCACGTGAGACCGCGGTGCTCCGACGGCCAGCGAGCGGGGGCCGAGCCACGTGAGACCGCGGTGCTCCGACGGCCAGCGAGCGGGGGCCGAGCCACGTGAAACCGCGGTGCTCCGACGGCCAGCGAGCGGGGGCTGAGCCACATGAGACCGCGGTGCTCCGACGGCCAGCGAGCGAGGGCCGAGCCACGTGAGACCGCGGTGCTCTGACGGCCAGCCTCCGCCCCGGTGTCACCCCCGCGCAGCGGAGTCTCCCCGGCCCTGGGCTGTTGCCGCACCGCTCAGGCCTAGCAATGGCCACCGCTAGATCAGCCGTTTAAAATTATGTTGCGGCAAGCATTAGCGTTGTGCGTTTTCATGTCGGTTTGTCATAAGGTGACGTGCCCAGCTGCTTCCGCAGCGGCTAAGAGCCCGGCCTCTGGTCTGTAGCTCCGCGCTATGATGCGTGCCCGGGGTCGCCGTCGCTGGCTGTGCGCGGTTTCCGTAATGTCTCGCCGTTCACGCGTCGGTCCTCAGCGCTCGGCGGCCATGCGTGGCAGTCTGAGCCGGCTCCGCTCCGCGTGGTGGCGGCGACCGGGTCACCGCTGACCGACGCCCTGTCCGCAGGCCATCATGGCGGGTCAGCAGGCGGCCGTGGAGGGTGACAGGCTGAGCCTGCCCATGACCCCGGAGCGGTACACGGTGTCGGCGCAGCTGACCCTGGCGCAGCTCAGCCGCGCCCGCCGCCAGTTCGTCTCCTACATCAAGACGCACCCTGCCCAGCCGGGAAGCGTGGCCACGCTGTTCGTGCAGTACCTCAACAAAACGGACCGGTGACAGACGGCCGCGTCCGACCCGGCAACATCACCGCCCATTTGTGTCGCACGCCGTGACGGTTTTATCAGAGTGACGTCGATGGCATGCGACCTGTATTGCTGTGCAGACAAGGAGCTCCGAGAGCTCCACATCTCCCCGCGTTACAATACACGCACGGGGCTCGTGTGCCTCCTGTCGCGCTGGGCCGGACGCGCTGGCTGCGGAGGGCGGCGGCGGTCAGTCGCCGCATGGTCCGGCGGGCGTCTCGGGCTGCGTGTGACCGGAGGGGAGCAGCGCAGCGGCGGCACCGGCGGCCGGCCAGACCGGAACGGCGCGGCGCCGGGCTGGCGGGCCGCTCCAGTGCGCTGCTCCGGCTGGCCGGGTCCGGGTCTGGGCTCTCCGCTCGCCAGCTCCGGCGCGCGTGGCAGCGGCGGCCAGTCAGACACCCTGTCAGCTGGTGCTGGTCAGACAGGTGTCAGCTGAGTTGGGTCTGACACACGTCAGTTGAGACTGCTATCAGTCAGACGCAAGCTGGGCTGGGTCAGACACATGTCATCTGAGCTGGATCAGACAGGTCATCTGAGCTGGATCAGACACACGCCAGCTGAACTGGATCAGACACCTTAGCGTATCTGGATTAAACACAAGTCAGCTGAGCTGGAACAGACACACGTCAACTGAGCTGGATTGGACACGTCAGCTGAGCTGGATCAGACAGACGCCAGCTGGGCTAAATCAGACAGCTGAGCTAGATCAGACACGTCATCTGAGCTGGATTAGACACACGTCATCCGAGCTGGACCAGACACACGCCAGCTGAGCTGGATCAGAGACACGTCAGCTGGAGCTGGTCGGACACCGCTCCTATGGGCCGGGTGAGACGCAGTCTGTAGGGACCGGTCAGACGCACGTGGGCCAGGTTGCTTAGTGTCAGGTACGGCACTGTGCCGCCGGTTGTACAGATGGACTTGACAACAGATAGCGGCAAGTTGATTAAGTGTCGTCGAACACTGCCAACGCGGTTTACAATGGTGTGGTGTCGAGTTTCCGTGGTCTGGTGTTGCCATGATGAGGTGTTGCTGAGGTGCTGTGTTATCTTGTCACGCTTGGGTCGTGTTGCGCGCACGAATGCATCCAGTAAAGACCATGAGCTACGGCCTCCATCCGTCCCGTTTGACGCATTCCAGGTACTAGAGACACTCGTGCATTATGCATCTGTCGATCGCAATCGGCATGTCAAACATATGGTGCCGGAAGCTCCGTAGATGTCCCAGGATTGCTGATGCACGAGATGGCCAGCTCTGACCCGCTACAGACCCGTTCTGATTGGCTGTCACTGCTATACTCAGCTGATGGGGTCAGCGAACCCGGGGCAGTGCGCGGCCCAATTGAAAAGCTTGGGAGATTCACGGAAACTGTCGGCTGGGCAACAAAAATTCATGCAATATCCGACGAAAATCAAGGAACAATCGGAAGGGACGCAATACTGGGTATGTAGAGACTGTGGACATAACACAGGCAAATTACGCCCGTCGTACCAGGCTACGACTGCATGAGCGGAGACAGGGATACAGTTACAGAACTCCGCTACCACAGCGCCGGCAGCCAGCGCTAAGTATGATAATGCGGGAGCTGTCCCTTGACAGCTCGTACACTGATGACGATCGGCCTGCAGTATGCCACTCGTTAAATGGCCATATCAAGCAAACATTCGTAACATTACCAAATTTCGACGTTATAGGCTGTGTTCATGGTCACGGGGCGAATGGTGCCGCTGAATGCGACAAGTTGCTTGACAACGGGGCACAAAGGTCATTACCTTTTGGTATATTGAAGATCAATGGCTTTTAGAGTAAGAATTGCGAATTCTAAATGCTCATGCATCGACACATTTTTCACTCCTACTCGGCTGCATTTATAACTAAAACATCACATGCATAACCGCAGATGTAACCAAACCCCGATCAATCGTGGCACTGCCAGCGGCCGGCAGTTGTCGGCGTTGGCAACACCTGGATGTTTTCAGCAATGCGTCACGCTTTTCAGCGCTTCGGTTGCTGCTTTGGAATACAGCCATACCAACTGGAATATGTGCATTCAATTTCGGCGATTGGCGAGCAATTTCGGCAGCTAAACATTGGCATGAAGGTAAAATAATTGCGCGATGTGAACGGTGAGCCCAATGGTTGAATGCTCCATGATCTGTTCATTGCACCCGTTTTTCATGTGATATATAAACTGTCTTTATTGTCACAGGAAAAACAAACCAGAACATCGGGTGATCCTCATGACACAACGTAATATTGTCTTGAACGTCGGCGGGTCGATAAGCGGCAAAGTCTTTATCAAAAAACCGTCAATGCTTAAATGTTGGCTCGTTTTAACCTGCGCTGGCCCCGGATAAATTGGCGATAGCAACAAACGATGCCCCGGCTGGAAAAGGGACGTCAGAGGCATACACCGTGAGCCTGCACGAGCTCAGTGACGTCAGCAGAAAATCAGATGATTGGTGCTTTCGAGAAGCAGACCACGGCCTGGCATTATTCAGCGTTTTCATCCGCATGTGGTATATGCAGCTGTCAGACACGGATGCGAGACGGCGGGTGCAGGCGGTATATGCAGCTGGCAAACACGGATGCGAGACGGCGGGTACAGGCGGTATATGCAGCTGTCAGACACGGATGCGAGACGGCGGATACAGGCGGTATATGCAGCTGGTAGACACGGATGCAAGACGGCGGGTACAGGCGGCCGCCATTTTACGGCAGAACGCTCGTGACTGACACGCGCCATTACCGACGGTTTCCAACGCATAGTTGAGCAGTTCAAAACGGCTTTGTCGGTAATGGCGCGGTGTTTGCGTGTCGCGAATAGTGGAACCCAGCTGCGGAAGCAAACAAACACCCTAAATTGGATAGTGAATGCATTGACCTGGTCGTCATATGTGAAGAATCCTCCGTCCGCAGTTATCTCTCTAACAGGTGAATCAGCTCCTCTGGGAAACTTGACCATAC